AACACGCTAATAGTCTCACCCAACTACAATTTCTCTCGCATTAAATGAGTTCTTACCTGTTCCAGTAGTTGACCGATGAGAAGATACACGAGTAAGACTTACAGATGACGAACCAGATTCTATGACTGAAAACTTTCTCATAACATGCGGAGAAAAAGTGGTGGCTACCAATACGCAAATAGTCGAAGGTTGGAGAAAAGCTGTCAGTTCAAACTGTTCATTGCCGCCACTATGTCATCCTCCGTGAGTAAATTTAACGATATATCGGATTGGTCCATATTATTTGTCTATATATAGCCATGTGTATTGATATTGCTTTTGCTGATTATAATAAAATGATCTGCCGTACTCACTTTCACCAAGATGACTTCATAATAGTAGTAATTGTGAAAGTCATACTGATAACCTGACATTGCACACTTCTCACGGCAATATATTTGATTGTGCATAGTCCATTCTGATTAATATACCGTTTGATGAAGTGTTGGAATTACTATGATTAATGAAAAACAAATAAGCTCACAATGAGTCAACCTGAACAAGTGAATAAAAGTAGTTGCATCACATAATGATTTTTTTTCTATCAACTGGAAGAAGCTTGTTTTCGTCTCTAAATGATGATTTACTTGTTCGACGTATCATAATGTTATTTTTGTTAAGCTTCAAGAATAAGCTCAAAATATTCCATTTTTGTCGAGTTATGAAACTGTTGCTAATTGTTTACAGGTGACGCCTTGCAGATCGTCACTGTTGCATATATATAGGACAGGTTGCTCTGTTCAACAAAGAAATTCTATGTCGAAAATATCGTGACTAATCACAAGAGCACGTGATTTTTATACACTGCAAAATGCACAGCCAACTTCACTAAGGCTGACATGTTTCAACAAATATCAAAAAAAAAGGTTTTTCTTAGCTCACGAAACTTATTCAGGCTAAAGCTGTCTGGAACAAGTTGTGAATTTTTATATCTCACCTTAAGATCAGGCGTTCTTTTACAATATTTCGGAACTTTCGAACCGAACCATCTGGGCAAACACTGAAATTCTCTAATGGAAATCGATCGAGATGTTCAAGTAGTACTGCGAATGACTTTTGTAAACCTTACGTGTTGCTATGGAAAGTTTAAACAAGATCGAGGTGTAGAAGAAAAGAAAACAAAAAATTCACCACCCAACAGGAAGTTGTACTTACGAATATGACGAACACCCATAGGTCCACGAAAAAATAATTTTATTCCGTTTTACTTTTATGCTGTAAAAAACTGGTAAGATTTCCATATTTGCTACACTTTAGTCCCTTTATACCTTTGAGAATATAGGTGTGGGTGCGAGTACAAGTGCCGTTGAAGTGAGGCTGCCAAATGGTGCTAAAGGAGTCTAAAGTGACTAAAGAAACCAAAGGAACTACAAGAAACAAATGGACTAATGGAATAAAAAGGACTCAAAGGACTAAAGGGATAACTTGAGGGGAATAAAAGTAAAACGGGATAAATTTATTTTTTCGTGGACCCCTCACCCTATTTGAGATAACTTACATGGATCAAACAAGTGTATCGGGTTTCATCAGCGTCAATAGTGTTTCGGTACATTAGGACATTTATGTTTTCGTCCGTTTTAACTATCCTAATGGACACTATCTGACTTCTTGTGTAAAAAGAAGTTTCTTTCACTTTTACAGTTGTTATTCAAAATTTTATTTGTTCGAATAGATAAATGGCCTCATCGTTGAACGTCAACATTTTGCTAAGATCACTTCTTCAAGCCGCATGAATGGTGTCACCTTCAGTGGCATCTACGGTAGATATTTTCCTTTTTTTTCTACTCAGACATGTAATCGTTTGAAAGCATTGTCTCACTAGGTCTCGGATTTTATTCGCTTTCTATGGAATATATGACGCCAATGGTTTTTAACCTTTGGCCTCAAAGACTCATCAACCAACCAATTGCTTGATTTTGGCTTGATCTGTATGAGTTATCAGAATCTGACTACAGTTGAGTTGAGAAAAAGAAAGAGTCAATTTAGAAATCCACATCATCCGAGAAGTGGACAGATTTTCTTCGGTGGTGTCGATTCTCAACTCTTTGAGGATGAAATCATTTATGCTAATGTGACCAAACAGCGAGAACAACAAAGGCAAATCCATTTGAATAAGTTAGCGATTTATTACCAAATTCATCTGTATTTAGAAAAATTTTGCTTCATTTTGTAAAGCCTTAAGATGGGTACGTTGAATCTGTGTAATGATGGCTGTGAAGCACTTATCGACTCTGGGACAACGATGATTCTAGGATCATTTTCGGATGTTGTACGTTTTCAACAATCGATTTCCCACTATAATGAAATAGTAAATATCACTAGAATGACATATTGATCGATCAGAATAGATATTTGCCTAAATTGTAGCATGATACTATCAATTGTTTAGAGCGATCATTTATACCCGATCTCATATTCATCATTGAGGGCAAACCACTAATACTAACTGCTGCTCAATATTTTTATTCTGGTATTGATCGAACAAATAATAACAATGTTATCTGTTGTTCTGCTATTCGTGCTTACTATTGATATGTCAAGAGTGGCGATTATCTCTGGATTCTTGATAATGTCTTCATGAGTCGTTACTAGACGACTTTTCACGCTGGTAGAAGACGAATTGGCTTCATCAAATCAGTCTCTAATCTTACTTAGTGGGGAAGTGAGTCAGTACTGTCTTCGCTCATGCCCACCAACACCTACACGAAATAAATGAATGCGTCGCAAAAGCAGAAAAAGTGTAGAAGATAAAACATCTAGAAAACTCTGGAGGAATGAGTGAGGTAGATATGGCCGATTATCTTTCAGACATCCGTTCCCGCATATACACTCATCATACACTCACAACCACTCATTCATACCCACTCAGTTTTCTAGTTTTTTTTAGCTTTCAGATTTTTGTGTTATAAATTTTTATTTTAAATTTTTTTTTTGAGAATACCGAAATAAATACAGAAAGAATTGAAACTATGACGATCTTTACTGACCATTTCGACCAAAATCGTTTTGACTCGACGTAACTGCTTTAATTTTAGTCACACCATAATTGTGCCAATCTGGAATAAACTCATGATATTGATCAGTTCTATGAGAACATCTTTTTTCTATGATATTTGTTAATAGCGAGCATTTAATCGATCGTAAAGCTTGAAATCATTGGGCCAATTTAACATCGAACCTAAGCGATTGTGAACTAATCTTGTTCAACGTTGAGCAGTCCAATGACTTTCGTACTCCTCGATCAATCGATCAATTCTAACTTGAGCTCGAACGCTGATTGTTGACAGATAAATTGGAGACAACAATGACATAATCTGTTTCAGTGCTTTTCTTTTTTACCTGTCATTTCAATAATACAGAAAATATTATACATCTATGTCAGATAATTGTTGAAGATATGAAGACATCTTCAATGGATTTAACGACACCGCTTATGGGCCGACGTTTCTGTCCGAACTGTCTATTGATTGCCGTGCAACAATCATGTGTTCTCATCGGTCTTCAGATCAAGACAAATTAAGGCAAGGAATACATATCTTTCCACTATTTTCATTTTTAAAGAAAAGAAATCGGATAGATTTTTGATAACAATACCTTTTTCCTTTCGTTTCATCTCTATTCAAGTCAAGGAATCTGACCAAGAAGAATCTTAAAATTGGATGTAGGTATGACCAAGTTGCTGAACAAATCAGTCTAATGTTCACTCACTCTCACTCTCACATAAACTTTACAACAATACTTCAACCACATTCACACCCCAAAATGTCTCTGCTTCTTCAGAATTTATCAATTCGAATTCGAAACCGACATCAATCTGCAAATTTATTTGAGTTTTAAAGTAAACTTGCTTGATGATCGCATATAGAATGTGCCCAATCTTTGACGCAAGCTTTGTCTAGATCAATTCTGGATTAGACATAATCTTAGTTTGAACGCTAGCATATATACATATCTACGTATTGCCAGTTTGATCTTTGTCTAGCTATCTCATCTTTTCATGTTTATTCTTTTCTTACATTGTTCTAATAAAACTCAAAAATTTGAACTAGAAGTCTGAATATTGTACATGAAGTAAAAATGTTCGAGAAAGCTTATTGTTTGGATTTGAACAGATTTTTCTGTCCACTTTAGCTTACATTTGCCGCGTAATTAGACTGATAAGTTTCATTATGTTTATGAGTCTCGTCTTCCAATTTATATTTCGTAAAATGTTTATTTCGTTAGCTTGTATTCATATTATATTTATTTGTACGAGGGCAGGACAATGTCCTCCAAAACAGGCAAATTATTCCACTTCTAACAGAAAATATTCACTCTCCAAAATGCTAAGCAGAAACGATTCTTTTATGAAACAGCATCCATTACTTCAAGATCATTCACATCACAGAAAATGAAATCATTACAAGAAAGAACTCATTCATCCATTTCTACCTTCGTAAGCAATAGTTAAAAATGAAATATAGTTCGTAGAATAGTAATTGGTGGAGATGTGATATATTCTCTCGTTCTATTTCTTTTTGCTGAAGCATTTGTTTTTAGTAAATAAAATGATTTCTCCTTGAATTGAAATGTAGGTGTAAGAACAGCGAGTGATAGATATTTATTTGCATCATGTTTTTAATTTCTCTTTGATACATTTCATTTTATATGGGATAAATCATTCCTGTATGAGCGGAAAGTTTTTCTTTTAAATTGATTCATGTATTTCAAACTCAACTAAATTCACATGCCAACCGTGACAAATATACAGCTAAAAATGTTGTCAAGGTTATTTTGCATTTATGATTTCTAATGTTTCGATGATTGATTGACTGCGCACTTCTTTTCGTTTAATTAATAGTCTAAGAGAAGAAAAGAAACGCATGAGCAGTCAAGTGACCATCAACAACCACTCTTTGCAAAACTCATTTGCACATTCTTCACTTCCATAGTTTTCATAATAACTTGATTGACAAAGTCAAATGAATGATAGACAACCTCTGTTATACGCATCCAGTAGATTATCTTTTGGTGATGATGACGATGATAATGGAAATAAAAACCAACTTTTGATCAATAGGTATGATCTAATAGATGGCTAACTTCGAGAAAATTACAATGAATTTGTCCTTGTTCATAGTTTTTCTGATTGGCGTCGATGTTTCAGTAGAAAAGAGAGCGATAATAAATATGTAAAATTAGATGATGATACTGAACATGGTCGCAAACATCAAGTAGCTGGTACTCTTCGATTAGTAAGTGAACTGAGACAAACTACAAACTGATTCATGTATTCAATTTTATTGTAGTTTCGGTTTGCTGACCGTGTTGATTTTGCTCTCATGTTCCTTGCTACGTGTTTGGCAGTGCTACATGTGATTTGCATTCTTACTAACTTAGTTATGTTCGGTCGACTCACAGGAATATTTGCTATTGAATCATTTGGTGGTAGTTGTGATGATCAACACCAAACGTCAATAGCTCCAAGTAATAATAATAATACATACCCTCAAGATATCGAGCTCAATATACTAAACAATGCTCTATCGCATAAGTAATTTTCAAAAAACTATTATTATTTACTATGTATTGCCCTATTTTCCTTTGCAATTTTTTCCCCTTAGACTGTTCAAAAATACTAGTGCAATTTTGTTATCAACTTTACCTACATCGATGCCTTCATTTCGAGAAAAAGTTATACACATGGTTCACTGGTTATTCAGTAAGTAAAATGAACGTATGAATTTGATCATAACAAATGATGGAAATTGTTTTTCTTTTCTTTGTCGATGTAGTTATTGGTGCTGTTCAATTTCTGGCTAGCTCGATTGCATATTTCAGTTGGGTCATTAGTATAAAACGACAGATGGCTCGTATGAGTGTGGCCCTCTTTCGAACACTTGTCCAACGCGTAAGTCAAATATACTTCCGTTTACAAAAAAAAAAGCTTTCCCAAAGTTTAATGTCAGCTTTTTCTTAAGATTACTATAAATTTATAACATCTTATACTGTTCTTTTTTTTTAAATTTCACCATCCATGAATCACCAATTCTAGGAAACCAACGAAGAAAGCTAAAACATCTGGCTAAAACTTATATATATATATATATACTTCGAGATATCCATAGTTCTGAAACTTCTAGATCTAAAAGTAAAAATTCAGGGCTATAGTACAAATGTATGCTCATTCTATGCTGCCACCTACATACCAAGTGCTTCCTTAGAAGTTGATACAAATATAATCGTTTTGAAATTTTATAGAGTAATTTCGACATTTACTGTTTTACGAAGGACTTTCAACTTCAGTATTTGACGGCTTTACAATTAGAAAAAACTCGACATATTTCTGGAAAAATTGAAGTTGAAATAGTGGAATTTTGAAACGATGTTAAAGAAATATTGACAAACTCATGTAATTATTTCAATAGTATTGTTCATTCTCTAGATTATCTTGTATGGAAACGACTTTACCCTGTTCGGAGATGTACCATTTCAATTCACAATTGACACTTTTATCTACGGAAGTTAGAAATAAACTTGAATTGCCTTACGTCTGAACCTGCTCACGTGTTGTCTTCCGATTTCAATGATTTTTCACTCGTATATACTAGATAATATGCCAGTGCAAATGAATGAAATATTTCTATTCATATTGAGACTTCGTGCAATTATTGAACTTTTAACATGTCTATTTACTAGAGATCTTTGTGAATCCAGAATATCTAAAAAATCATATATTTGAATTTTGTCTTGAAAATCTTTCTATTTGAAGATCATATATATACTGTAGTTTGTATAGGCTATGTTTCACAGTTTGTAGGCTTTATATTTCTGAAATATAAACATCTTAAATTGTTCTTCTTTTTTTTCAATACACTTCGAAAACTATCTGTTCCTGAAAGTTACTATCATGATAATACGAAATCTGATAACTGTGAAACTCTTCATACAAGCAACTGTATATGAAAACCTTCATCAAATAGAGATAGATTCTAGAGTAAAATTCAATAGCACGACTTTTCAGAAAACCTAGAGTTTTGTCGAAGACTCTGACAAATAGACATATTTGCAATTGAATAGCTTCGTGAAGTTTCAATTAAAACTTGAATCTTTTTAGGGCTTTCACTAGAATATTATCAACTATCTATAGGCAACAAAAAATAAATTGGAAACGAAAGGAGACCCTTGGGAAGGTTCTCTTAGTAGATCGTTGTCAATCGAAAAATTTAACGTTTCGTGAATACAGTCTGACTACAATTAGCGCTGTGTTCAAATCAAAGTTGGAGTAGAGTTGAACTTCATAGATTTTTGTCCGTCATGATAAGATTTCTGTTGACTTGGCAACTTGTTGATTGAAAATAAACAATCTGATAGAGACAACAACAATTACAGAAGCTAAATCCAAAAAGACTCAACTTTATCAAGAAAAAACTGGGTAAAACATTGAATTTTTACAACCAGAGTTGCAGTAGGATTTTCAAAAAAACCTCAAGTTGTAATTATATTGAAATTTAGAAAACATAGTTAAAATCGACTTTGGAAAAAAAAGGAACGAAATTAAACTGACACTCAGTCGAATTTGTTCATCTCTAATTAATTGTTTCTCTTTGTTTTTAGAGTATTACTTATGTGGATAGCAATCCGACTAGTCAACTCAATGCTAAACTATTTGAGTAAGTTTTTGTGATATTTTACATCAAATAACTCCACCTAATTCGATTCTTCTATAGTAATATTACAACGATCGACAAAGGCATTGGTGTTGAATTCTTAATGTTGACGGCAATTATATTCATTGTCTTTGGTGCTGTAATAACATCTTTCATTGTCAACTGGCAATTGACTTTAATCATGCTATGTTTAATACCTTTGGTCATTGGTAGTTCATTTGTGTTTTCTAAGGTATGAAATGTTGTTCTATCAATTAAATATGTATGAATCGTTACAGCTCATCGCTAGGGAAGCAAAGAATGAGCTATTGACATACTCAAAAGCAGGACAAATCGCTCAAGAAGTGTTTAGTTCATTGCGAACTGTTCTTTCTTTCAATGGTAGTAAATTTGAGCAAAAACGGTAAAGAAACATATTGAAATAACTTATTTATCCGAGATCATACAACATTTTAATATTTTCTTTTTTTGCATTTAGATATGAAAGAGAATTGTATCGAACTCGTTGGAGTAGTATACGCCAAGGTGCGATTTTTGGAGTTTTTACTGGTTGGCTAGTTCTGGTATCCTATCTAGTTTATACAGTTGGTTTTATCTTTGGTTCTCTGCTTATGAAAAGAAATGATTCTCAAACTTTAAGTATTAGTGATATTCTTGTTGTGAGTAATTCATTTAATCAATCAATAAGGAAATAAATATACTACTATTATATTAATGTAGATCGTTTCCATCTTTGCACGATGTTTCTCTTACTTCAACTTTATTGGTTCTTACTTTCAATCATTTTCAGAAGCTCGTGGTGCAGCAGCAGCAGTGTTTGAGCTTATTGATGAGGTAATCTCGATCATATTGTGGTCTTATATTGATAGCGATGTTTTCTGTTTATTTACATGATATAGGGAAATGACACAAGTATCAATGAAATAGATGTATGGAAAGAAGATAGTGAATCAATTGATAACATTAACGGCGATATTGAATTTGACAATGTCAACTTCTTTTATCCTTCTCGAAAAGATGCACCAGTTCTGCGCAACCTCTCTCTTATCGCTCGAGCTGGTCAGACAACTGCTCTTGTAGGTTCAAGTGGTTGTGGTAAATCTTTTCGATAAAAGAAAAATGTTAGAATGATTACATTTGTGTTCATAATTTATTCATAGGAAAAAGTACATGTATATCAATGTTTCTTCGTTATTATGAACCTTCATCAGGTCGAATTACGATTAATGGTCGACCGATAACAGACTACAATGTCCAACAACTCCGACAAAATATTGCAGTTGTTAGTCAAGAACCTGTATGTTATTGTCTTCATTTTTCTTTTTTCCTTTTCTTTGTTCATTTACTATTTATAATAGATTCTGTTTGATATGAGTATTTATGAAAATATTCGTTTTGGTAAAGTAAATGCAACACGAACAGATATTGAACAAGCAGCACGAGAAGCAAATGCACATCATTTCATTATGAAATTACCAGATGTTTGTGCCAAAAATTCATCTTTATCTATATACATATGTATTATTATTTCTTGTTTAGAAATATGAAACACTTGTTGGTGAACGCGGTATACAGTTGAGTGGTGGTGAAAAACAACGTATTGCATTAGCTCGTGCTCTTGTCAAACATCCTACATTTCTTTTACTGGATGAAGCAACAAGTGCACTCGATAATGTTAGTGAAAAACTTGTTCAAGAAGCACTTGATCGAGCATGCAAAGGTAAAAATTATTTTTTCTTTTTATCGTATTGATATATCAGTCTATATAGGTCGTACAACTATTGTGATTGCTCATCGTTTGACTACAATTCAGAATGCTGATCAAATATATGTATTAGATAATGGAAGTGTAATTGAACAAGGTATACATGAAACATTGATGGCAAAAAATGGAAGTAAATATCAAACAATGGTCAAACGTCAACAAATCGAAAGAATTGTTAATGACGAAGATGATGCGATGAGTATACAAAAAGCAACAGAAGAGGAAGAAAAGTCAATATGTATGTTAAGATTCTTCTAATAATAATCTTCATTGTTCTTCTTTTTTTTCTTTAACAGTTGAACGTGCTCGTTCATTTAGCGATAGTCAAATTGTTGATGTGAACAAAGTACAACTACTTTTGCTATTATTTATAAAGATCATTATTGCTAATATTGTTTTTTTTTTTCTTCAGCAAAGTTCAAAACCGTTCATACACAGATTTGTTCTTTTAAGACTCTTGTCAATGAATAGTCCTGAATGGATAACGATTTTGATTAGTTGTATAGCGTGTGTACTTAATGGAGCCGGTCAACCAGTGTTCGCATTTTTGCTTGCTGAAATAATCAATGTAAGCAATCCATTCATATAAATATCGGGCAAAAAGATTATAACACTATACATTGTTTTATTTCGGTTTGTTGATTGTTTAGAATTTCAAATATTGTTCAAGCTCGGAACGACGTCGTCATGTATTGATTAGCAGTCTTCTTTTTCTACTTTTAGGTATTGTTTTATTAGTTCTCCGTTTTTTTCAAGTAAAAATATTGGTTACGAATTTGATCACTAATTTATTTACTCTTTTCAATAGTATACAGCTTTTGCTATAGCAGGATCAAAATTGATGCAACGCATTCGTTCCAAAGCCTTTGCGTGTCTACTTCGTCAAGAAGTTGCTTATTTTGATCGACCTGAAAATAGTTCGGGTGCGATTTGTGTTCGTCTTTCTTCTGATGCATTAGCAGTTAAAGATATCACTGGTTCACGATTAGGAGTCATCTGTGAAGCTATTGCATTATCATTTTTTGGAATTCTATTCGGATGTCTCCTAAGTTGGGAATTAACATTGATTGTTTTTGGTGCTGTTTTTATTCAATGCATAATCACCTATGGGGATATGTCTTTACGCATATGGCTGAATCGACAATCTCATCAAATTATTGGACGAACAAGTACGGTAAGTTCAGATTTTATCCTTATAATCGTGTGTTATAGGAAAAATAATTTTGTCATGAATTATTTGATAAATCAAATATATTCTCTTCAATTTCTCTTTTTTTTTCTACAGCTTGCTGTTGAAGTGATAAATAATCTGCGTACAATAAAACAGTTATCAATAGAAAAGGAAGTCTTACGACAATATTCTGAACTTATTCATGAACTATTTATGTTCGTCAATTGAATTTTATATATGTATAAATTTTTAATCAATCTTGTTTTTTTCATAGGTCTTCTTGGAAATGTTTAGTACCAGCTTCAATGACATATGGTATATTCTGGTCACTAGATACATGTACTATGGCATTCATATATTGGCATGCTCTTGTTCTTGTTGAAAACAATGAACTCACTTCGGATCATATTATAATGTAATTGAAACCATATTTTTATAATCTAGAGACAATATTTTGTTATCTTTTCAATTTATTAGGGTCTTTTCTTTTGCTGTTTTTTCTCTACAAGCACTAAAACTCATCGGACTGACGTAACATTTTCAATGTCTAGTTAACTTTTTATTTTTTTATTTTTTTACTATCTCTATTTTAGATCTAGACGTATCGCTGAATCAGTCTCAGCTGCTGAGACGTTTTTTGATTTATTTGATCGAAAACCAACTATCGATAATACATCTACTGAAGGATTAGAATTAGTAAGACAATATAGAAAATAATTCTTTTTCTTGTGATTATCCATATGACATGGATATAATATGATTTGTGTAGGTTAATTTTCGTGGAGAGATAAAATTTGATCAAGTCAAGTTTATCTATCCAACTCGATCAACATCTATTGTTCTTAATCAATTTCAATTGAATATCAAGCCAGGTAAGTGAGATAACTTTCGATATAATGATTTTATTAATAGTTATTATTCATTAATAAGGTCAACGTGTAGCTCTTGTTGGTATGTCTGAATTAAATGTTTATTTTAAATATTATTTATGTAAATATGATGCATATAGGTACATCTGGATGCGGAAAATCAACAATTATTCAACTATTGGAACGATTCTATGATGTTACAAGTGGTCGAATAGTTAGTATTTCTTCAACGTATAGTTTAAATAATCATAAAAAATTTGTCTAATTAATCTAGCTTCTTGATGACGTTGATATCCGACGACTAAACCTTCATTGGGTTCGTTCTCATCTTGGTCTTGTTAGTCAAGAACCAATTTTGTTCGATTTAACAATTGCTGAAAATATCGCATATGGATTAGAAAATGTTCCAATGAAAGATATTATCAATGCAGCAAGTAGAGCTAATGTTCATCAATTTATTGATCAATTACCTCAGGTTAAACAATACAAAATTAAACAATATATCAAATTACTATTTGATGATAATTCTTTTTAGGGTTATGAAACAAAAGTAGGTTCGAGAGGTAGTTTTTTGTCTGGTGGTGAAAAGCAACGTATTGCTATTGCTCGAGTTCTTCTTCGTCAACCTAAAGTATTACTGTTAGATGAAGCTACAAGTGCCATGGATTCAAACAATGAACAAGTGAGTTTGTCTTTCTGGTTCTTAATTTATGAATTAAAGTTTCGTTTTTATTTTTCAATTATAGCTTGTACAAGAAGCTCTTGAACAAGCTCAAATCGAAGATTCTAGTCGAACATCCCTCATTATTGCTCATCGTCTTTCAACTATTCGTTCATGTGATTTGATTTGTGTACTTGATAGAGGACATATAATAGAAAGTGGTACTCATACTGAATTGACACTACGACGTGGAGCTTATTATAAAATGCTTGCTCAAAATAATTTACAATGATTATCAGTGAACTATTTTGATAGTGAAAATATACTTTGCTAAAAATTAAATGAAACTTTGCCTTAAAAAAATCTGACACATGATATAGTTACATTGATCAATTCACTGTACAATTAATATCATTCATAGGAAGTTGAGTGTGAAATTGTATTACAGTGCATTACATCGATTGTTTTTAACTTATTAGTCATATCTGAATTCCGATTGAACAAGGACGCTCGTTAATGACCGTAAATCTATTTATTCGAAGAAACGATTAAAAAAATTTTTAACTACTCAAGAGCGGAATCGAACATATATCCTTTTCTTTCATCTTTGACATTGTCGTTTGTTGAAAGATAAAGACTTATCAACTAACATAAGAATAAACTCATGGAATAATTTTGAACATGGAAAACAAAACAATAACAAGAAAGAAAATAGAATATTGAATAGAACGTATAGAAATCAATAGGAAAATCATATTAGTGATTAGATGCAGACAGATGATGATAAAAATATATTTATCTCTGAATGAAACTTTGCTCTAAATTAAATACAACAAATGTTACTGTGTTTCATTCATACAACAAAAAATGTAAAAAAACTGAATAAGAATTAGTTTACTCATCTATTACTAGAATATGACTCGTTTTTGTGTACTCAAAAAGTGAGTATACTCTAGAATCGGTCAGTATGTCCGTCCGTCCTGCCGTTTACACGATAACTTTCGAAAGGAGAGTTAGATCATGATGAAATTTTCTACACAATTCAGTCTTAACAATGTCTCGGTCGAGTTCGAAGAATCCGTCACGAAATGGCTGAGTTATCGAAAAAATTGTCATTATTGACCAGACCATCCCTGAGGGGAGGTACAGGGATTTTTTTTTTTAAATATTTTTCTCAAAATTATTCACAACATATATAAATCGACTCAGTTTTTAACGCTGATTCCGAATCTGATATTATTTTTGAACCAAATAGTAGCTTT